CACATGGGGTCTGTATACTCACAGAACTGCTTCCTGGGATAGCCCTCAGATCCCCAAATGCYAATGGGGTGCAGAATGGTGGCAGAAAAGTCAGTCCTGAGTTCAAATTGCTCTTTCTCAATGACAAGAGAGTAGGATCCAGGGGAACAGGGGGTGTGGCGAGAGCCCCGCATGGGGAAGGAGACAACCCAGGACTCCTGGGGAGGCAGTGAAAGCCCCGAGACTGGCATTTCTTGTGCCTTGGTCCCTCTAACCCTTCCAGGCAGGCAGACCTCGGACAAGTTACAGAGGCTGAGGTGGAGGGAGGGAAGCAGGAGGGAGGGCTTCTTCCTGCAGGTGTGTGGCACTGCTTCCCCTTCTGCCTTTCACAGAGAGGCGCTAGCTTCAGATTGGGAGGGGCAGGCAGTCACAAGATGCCCCTCACAGATGACCTGTGCTGTGGAGCCTAGTACCCTTTCCTCTAAATGGACCTCTACCATGGAGTTGTGATGGTTGAATAAGGTAAGTGACCCTTGGGGGAAGGCATGGAAAGGGGAGGGCAGCTACTTGGCACATGACATTCCCACAGGTGGGGTCCTCTCTCTTTAAACTGGCCTCCCAGGTCAGGTATTTAAACTGTGGAACCTCAAGGCCACACAGAAATGGAGTGTCAGTGACACCTGGGTCCTTAAGACCATGAGCTGCAACCTCCTCTACTGACAAGTGAGAGAGCTAAGAGCCAAGAGGGGAAGACAGTCACTGTTGAGGGCCAAGGTGTCACAACTGCGAGGTCCTAGAGGCAGCAGGACACTCCTCCTCCCTGAACCTCCTGGTCGACATATCTTTCTTGGAAGCTCTCTCTCTCTCTCTCTCTCTCTTTTTTTTTTTTTTTTTTGGTATTAGAGATTAAGCCCAGGGTTGCTTAGCTACTGAGCCACATCCTCAGCCCTTTTTAAATTTTATTTTGAATAGGATCTCACTAAGTGGCTTAGGTCCTTGCTAAGTTGCTCAGGCTGGCTTTGAACTTGCCATCTTCCTACCTCAGCCTCCCAAGCCACAGGGCTCACATGCCCCACTGCATCCAGCTCATATAAGGTTTTGTGTCTGTTCTATCAGAATGTCCTCTCCTACTTTAGTGGACTTCCCTCATCAATGCTCCAAAGCCTTCTGGAATTCAGGTCCTGCTTCTGGAGTGGCACATCCTAAAAGGCATAGCTTTTCCAGCCTGGGCACCTGCCACTCTTGGTGGCTTCTGCAGTGAGTGACTCCCAGGCATGCAAGGAGAGCAGGAAGGGACTCTTCCCACTCCAGCCTCCCATGAGAGCTAACTGAAACTGCCCTGGGGTGGCACATGCCAAAAAAACTATTTAAAAAGTGCTTTCACTTAGATTACAGGAAGCCAAGAGTTCTAGTTTTATCTCCATCATTGAAAAGCTGTGTGACATTAGACAAATCCCTCAGCTTCTCTGAAAAATAGGAATAACATCACTTGTCCTGCCTGGTTGATGAGGGAGTTTACAAGGATCAAATACTAGGTGAAAATTGCTGCTGGAACACAAAAAAATGTCAGAAGAACTCTGCCTAAGGAAAGCTGTCCCAGAGAGGCTCCCCCAGGGCCTGGTCTCCCCCTTGGGTGCCTTCTCACTACTTCCTTGGCAACTGTGCCTGGCCGAGAGCTGGCCTGGATAGTGTTGCTCACTGACTCTTATGAGGATTAAACGTCTTGCCTCCTCCTTATCCAATCCAGCACCTTCTCTGCAGCCACTGTGAGAAACTCTGAATCTCAGAAGGGGTGCTGGTCTTACGACCCCYAACTTGGTCTGAGATTCCTGTGCAACCACAGGCTCAGGACAGAGATGACTTGTTTCAGGCCACACAGAAAGCAATGCAGCCAACTATTCAACCTGCTCGGGCCCTGATCTGGAATCCCATAATAGTCCACATCATCCCATTTACTGCATTTAGCCACTGCCTTCTTCCTGAGGATTGTAAGCAGCCGCTTGAGTCCCACTGCCTAACCGAGGGTGGGAACTCTTGCAATGCACATCCAAGGGTGCCTTCTCTCCTCTGCAAAYAGCACTATACACAGGTCTCTGGTGTCCTGCTGAGAGCTTTGCCAGCTATGCTGGGTACTGGAGACCAAGGGCTGTCACATCCAGTTCTTCCCCAGGTTTGTTGAGTGGCCTTTCTTCTCCTCTAATCATTCTCTGAGCCCTCTCCCTTAATCTCAAACTAATTTTCTCCTGTTGCTTTACCAAACCGGGCAATCATAGTCACATCTCAGTCAGGACCCTACCATCACCCTCTGCTTCCAGGAGGACTCACCCCAGGTTAATTATATACACTTATCTTGGTCCAGCTGCCATCAAAAACATTTTGACTTTTTGTGAACTCTGTAGAGACAGTCTGCTGTCTGTATGTGGTTAGCATATGTTGAAATGGTAAAGGTCATCTGCCTTGATGTGGAAACCTAGAAAACCAGAATGAGGCCCTTGTATATTTTCGTAATGTTGAGTCTCTACCCTGCGCTAAGCACTGTGCTCGGCACTTGGTGAGCATTCCCTCTACTACCAGCAACCCTCTGGGGCAGTGAGGGCTGAAATCCATTGTCCTGGTGAGGAAATGCTYGGAGGCTGCCCATCTTGAAGGTCACATACAACTCTAAGTGGAGGAAGTGAGTTACTCTGAGCACATGGGTGCAGCTGTACCCATGCAGTCCTCTCTGCACTGAGTCACCCAGTGAGGACAGAGAAGAGGTCAACAAAGAGAGGAACAGCCACTGTCTGGACTGGATCATTCGCATGGGCATGCTGACATGCAGTGCTAGCTTGCAGCCTGAATAATCATTTCTTGACTCCATATCTTCTTCTAAGTTCATCTTTCTTTTCTTTTCTTTTTTTTAGAGAGAGACAGAGAGAGATAATTTTTTTAATATTTATTTTTTAGTTTTCGGTGGACACAACATCTTTATTTTTTATGTGGTGCTGAGGATTGAACCCAGTGCCCCGMGCATGCCAGGTGAGCGCACTACCGCTTGAGCCACATCCCCAGCCCCATCTTTTTWAAAAAAAWATWTTTTTTTAGTTGTCAGTGGACCTTTATTTATTTATATGTGGTGCTGAGAATTGAACTCAGTGCCTCACACATGCTTGGCAAGCACTCTGCCACTGAGCCAATCCCCAGCCCCTATATTTCTTTTCTTTTTTTTGTGGTGCTGGGGATTGAACCCAGGGTTTTGTGCAGGCAAGGCAAGCACTCTACCAACTGAGCTATATCCTCAGACCTCTAAGTTCATCTTTCTACCAAACTCCTGGAAAGGTCGTCTGTCTCCCTGTCCTGAGCTCGTCCACACCACCTCACCAAGACATCTGTTGCTGAAGTGTCCACTGACCCCTTGTTGCTGAGTGAGTTCCCATCTCACTCAGCCTCTGGGCGGCATGATGCTGCTGTTCCCTCTGCTTGAAATGCCCTCATCCAGTCCAGGATGCCTCTTGGTTCCCTGGCTCTCAGCTATGGCAGCGGGTCCCACCGTCCGCCGCTCCCTTACTTCCAGACAAGCTGCCTTCTGACTCCTTTTCTTCTCCTCCTGGCTTTGGATGGCATCATGATGCTCCTCAAACTCAAGCTTAGCGTGTCTAAACCAAACTCCTGGTTCCCGTGCCCCTCAGATATTCCTATTGCAGTCTTCTCCTCCGCTGCCAGAGGGGGGAGAGCACCTCTCCATCCATCTGCTTAGCTTCTTCTGGATGCTTTTTCTCACACATCCTGGACAATCCATCAGCACTTCCTGTTGACTCCGACTAGACCTAGAATCCAGCTTCCCCACCTTCACTGCTGCCGCTTGGCCCAGGCCACCTTCCCCTCTCCTGGCTCACTCAGCAGCCCCACAGGTTTTCTTGTCTCCATTCCTTCCCCCATGGCTTATTCGTCATATATGGTTCATGAAATCTTTTGCAATATATAAGTCAGAGTGGCACATGGTGGCACATGCTTGTAATCCAGCGACTTGGGACGCCCAGGCAAGAGGATCTCCCATATAAGCCCAGTCTTGGCAACCTATGGACACCCTGTTAAAAGGTCTGGGGACATAGAATAGTAGTAAGGCATACTTGGRTTCAATCTCCAGTACGGGACACACACACACAAATTTTGAAATACAAGTCAGGTGCTGTTGTTCCCCTGCTCAAAACCCTTCTGGGGCTCCCATGTCCTCAGTGCAGTCAATGAGACCCCCAAGACCTGACCACTTGCCACTCTCCTCCTGGCCCACTCTGCCACTGTGTCGGCCTCTGTTACTTCTTCTGCCTCAGAGCCCTGATTTGCTTTATTTTCTACTTCACAGGATTATACACATACAAACACACACACACACACATATTTACACATTTATTATCTGTCTCCTCTACAAAATATAAGCTCCATAAGGGAGGGCAAGGGCTTATTTTTTTCCCTACCATATTCTTACACAGCTGGTCTCAAGAAATAAATTTGGTTGATTGTCTAAATGAATGCAGGTTCCCTGTCCCAGTGCATATCAGGCACAGTGAGGGTAATGGGCTTGGTGCCAGGGATGAGGCCAGAGGATCTGTATATCCAGTTCCATGGTCAGTGTATCGCAAGAGCTATCCTGCACATGGAGGCCCCGAGGTACAAGGCTCTGCGGCCAGCCAGCACAACAGGATGCATGTGGCTGCCATGGCGGCAGTCTGCCAGCACACTGCTGACCGCCATTCCCTGCCAGAAGAGGATTAGGAATAATCCCAACCATTCATCCAGAGCTTTACAGTTTACAAAGTGTCGTCACACCCGATAGAGCATCTGGGCCACACAGCTGTCCCAGAAGATGGGCAGGATGAGAATTAGGACCCTCCACATCTGGACAGGACCCCAAGGCCCCTGGTTAAGTGTGGCCTGAGGCTTCACAGGAAGTGGCTGGGCTGGGTCTCAAGCCAGGCTTTCCTGCCCCCCACTGGTCACTGCATCTTTCCCAGAGCAGTTTCCACCAGGTGAGGCCTCTGAGGCAGAATGGACATATTTCCACTCTCTGAACAAACCACCAAACAAAAAAACACAAATCATTTATTCTTTGGTTGTCCGCATAGACACTTAAATACTGTATTGCTGTCATGCAGCTGCCCATGCAGGCCTTGGGGTAGCTCTGTGTCCTGAGCCTTCAGTCAGTCCCAGAGGGGAGTGGCATCCTGCCACATCCACTCCAAGAGCAGTAGCACCACACAGAAGGCTGTGAACTGAGTCCCCTCAGCTGAGCAGCAACCTAAGTTCCACTGCTCTGTGGCCCTGAGGGGCAGCCAGTCCGGGGTGTAGGACAGAGTTCCTCCCTATGAGTCCAATCACCCAGGCACATGTGAGCAGAGTGCTGTCATAGCTCATCCCTGAGCTTTGACTCACTGCCTGGGGGAGACTCTTCTCCAGGTTGGGAGGGGTCCTGCTGTGCATTCAGGGGCTGCTCCTGGGGCAGGTCCATCTCCTCTGGGCTGAAGAGCATCTTTACCAGGTCATCTGCCTGCACCCTGTCCTGCAAGGACAAAGCCCACCCATTCTGAGAGGCCTGGGACCAGGGGTTCATCCTCCTCTGGCTGTGGTGTCCTGAACAATGCAGGCTGCTACATGACCTGAGTTCCCACTTTCCCAGCGGGCCTGTGCCCAGACAAGACAGCTGAGGGGCCCAAGAAGGGAACCAAGAACTCAGCACACACCCCGGACCCTGTTTACAGGTAAGGAAGAAGCCCGGGGATGAGGCAGCATGACAATGGTGACAAGCTGCCGTGGGAGCCCCACACCCAATGTGCCCTTTGTGACTACTGGCAGCAGGATTTGGGGCAGGAGGATGAGAAACAGGGCCCTTCCAGGAAGAGTTTACTCAGCATAATGGGTTCTTACACGCTCACTATGTCGAGGGTCTAAGGTGAACCACAGGGCGATGGCACAGCGTTGCCCCCTGGTGACAGCCTTCACTCCATGCGGGTTTTCGGTGCCTGAAGAAAATCCCACAGCCCTTCCACACTGGGGCTGCACCTCTGCCTAAAGGGGACAAAAAGAGGGCATGCACAGGAGAACAACTTAGAAGAGCCATGTGCTCACTAGGGGCCAGGACSGAGGGCAGCTTCTGCATGGCTTCCCAGAGGTCAGGGTTAACGGTCATTTAGAGGAGCAGCTGACATATCTCAAAGCCACCTCATTTGGGGAAAGGGAACTGGTCACAAAGAAGCCCAGTGGGTCATTCTGTACACTGTACTTTGTGGAGATCAGCTCCAGGAAACAGGATTTCTATCCCCTGGGGATGAGGACAAAGGCACACTTACTGTCACAGTCTTGGCATCCAGTTCTGTAAAATAGAAGTTTCCTCCATCAAAGTCCCCATTTAGGTAAAGGATGGCACTGGGAAAGGCAGAAACATCCCAATGTGGCCCTTCTCCTCCCACTCCCCAGGGCCGTCACCTCCACATGCTCTGCTCCAGCAGCTGGAGGGTGGCCTTCCAGGGGAAGGAGCCTGTAAGCAGCTTCTCTGAAGCCATGGCAGCCCACAGCCTTCCACCCTCCACTTCCCCAGGCTCCTGCTCTTGTCATCAAGCCCACGTGGGTGGTTACACTCCTCACCCCACCAGAAGATCCCYCGTTGCTGCCTTCCTATCAGGGGTTGGGAAGAGGGTTGGACTGGAGGGACTGCTGGCCCTGGCCTGTGTACACACATGTGCCGAGAGTGTGCAGGCAGAGTACAGGGCACCAAGGGGCAAGCACAGGCCTCCTCATGAGGCACCTGCCACCACATTCACCTGTAATCCCGGAAGGTGTAGGCAGGGGGCTCCTTGATGCACATAAGAGTCTCAGCGTTCAGGATGCAGTTGTCCACGTGGACTGGATGGCTGCTGTCCTTCCTCTCAGCTTGTGCTTCTGGAGCCAAGGGAACCGTGTTAGTGCTGGGCATTGCAGGAGATATCACAACTCTCCTATTGCATGGGGTGGTGCTTCCCAAATGTGTTTCAGTCCTTGGATATGGTCAACGAACTGAGGGAAGCTGAAGGGGGTGTCTTTGGCTAAGCCACAGCTTAGAGGTCAGGACAAGTATGCAGGGGCAAGGGGGGTGCAGCAGGCAGGTCTGTGGGGCTCCAATGAGGCAGGTCCTGGGCGGAGTGGCCTAACTGTCTGTAGCTAGACTTTATGAACTAGGAACTGGGGGAAGTGAAGACAAGGACTCTGGAGGTCAGCAGGGTGCAGGGCAGAGTGAGGCAACTCTCAGGAAGGACTGCAGGAGGTGAGGGGAGGAGAGGGGGGAGCAGMGAAGAGAAAGTAACTTTAGAGGGGGCTCTGGAGTTGGGCAGGCACAGAAACCACACAGGGAGAAGGCATGAAAAGGAACAGATGGGGCTTACTATAAAAGGCCAGACATTTTACACTACACAGGACAATGAACACACCTTTCCCCAGCGCAAACCTTCAACAGATCCCATGACTGGCAGCACTGYCAAGTCACAACAGATGCCTCTTGGGCTATCCCCACTTGTCCAGTCAGTCACCAGGCCCTGCCCACTCTCCTCAATACCTTTYCTATGGTATCACACTCTTGTCTTGAGTGTGATTTCCTTTCTCCAAAACTCTCAACACATGGCAGCAAATCATAGCTTCTAAAAATAAAGGTGTTGTGAGTCATTCATTGCTTGATGACTCCTCCCTGGCCTCCCACTGCCTTGGTCAGCTTTCCTCCACCTTGAGGCTCCATGACACACACAGTCCTGTGCTTGACATGTTCTCAGATTTTCACAGAATTCCAAAAATCTTGAGGGAGAGAGAAGACCTCTAATCTATGTCACCTACCAAGGGCATGTCAATGCCAGGGGCCCTCTGAAGACTACAGCATGACAGAGCTGGCTGTGAACCATGTGTGACCCCTGCAGCCTGCCCTGCTGAGGAAAGCAAACGGAGAGCAAAAGGGTGAGGGAATGAGGAATAACCTTGCATCCACTATGACTTGGATTTGCAGCAAAGCTCATTACTGACTGAAAGGATAAAACATAAATTCTAGAATATCTCCATAATCTGGCAACTTTCTTAGTTGTCTCAACTACTAGGCCCCTAAATGCCTGTTCCTTTGATCTGCTAGTCTCTGGGTAATACATCTTCTTGCCCCACTGTGAATTCCACAAATGTTTATTCATCCTGTAAGCTGCCACCATGCCTCTGGGAAGCCTTTTGAACCCTGGGTAGGGTGACTATAACGTCCTCCAGGCTACTGTCACACTCAACATGTTGGGCTCTCTCCAGTTTGTCTGCACTGGTTCCCTCCATGTCCCCAAGGTGCAGCACAGTGCTGGGGCACAACATGCTCAGGGAGGCTGCAGGGTGATGAGACCCACCTTCAATTGCAGTGCGGCACACCAGGTGGGAGTAGGAGAAGTAGAGAGGGGTGTCCAGGCGAAAGTAGGACTCCATCACACGCCGCACCTTCTCCGTCACATTGTAGTACAGGTGGGCACTCTGTAGAGGAACTTTCCCTTCCTGCCCCAGCTGCCAAGGAGATTGGTGATCAGATACCTTGAATGCCCCTTTATGGGCCGCAAGGACACTGAARCACCAGGCCTGATGCTGTAAGAGCCCAGTGAGCATCCCCTACCTGCTCCTCACATCTGAAACCCCCACCATAGTACTCTTTTCCCTCTTTCAAACCTGGTGCATCCTGCACAGGATACAACCCTCTGGAACTAGTGGTTCTTCAGAAAGCATCCCCATAGCTCTGGGTACAGTCTTATCTTGCTCACCTCATTTCTATCACAATGATAGAAATGATACCACATTTAATATAACTTATCTGTAATCTGTGACAACTGGAATATAAGCAGTAAGACACTTTTTCTTTTCTACCACTAATCCCATCTCCTTTCCAAAGTTTCAGCTTCCCCCTAGTCCCACCTCCTCAGACAAGAAGATTCCTCCCTTCTCCTCATGCTAGACTGCCCAGGATTGATTTTACCTTGAGGGCTTTGAAGACAGTGACTCCATAGAACTTTTCACTGGGGGTGTGTGGGGAGGTCTGACCTCGGTAGCCATCTCCTGAAGTTGCTGCTGCCTACAAGGCTCAAAAGACAAGGTGAAGTTAGCCCAGGTGGCTGAGGCCTGATAAGAGGTGGTCAACTGCAGGCAGCAAGGGGCAGACCAAGGTTCAACACCTAAAAGGCATGTGGAGGGACAGGATGTTGGACCCCTGGGGAAAAGGTGCAGGAGCTGGGCTTCCCTTACATTGGTCAGTCTCTGCAGCTCCCGACATTCATCATCAGAGATCATGCCATCCATCACCACTCGCTGGGAACCATTCAAGAGTTTGGAGTTCATGGTGAGACTGATGCCTTCATACAGCAGGGGACCTCCTGCAGAGCAATGACAAGGGACAAAACCCTACAGCCTCCTTGTGAGGAACAGAAATTCCAGCTGTTTCCTATTCACAAGAGAAATCTCCCAGTGAGTCACTTCCAAGGTAGGGTGGTCCAGAGGACAGAACTTGGAGATGAAATAGAGGTCCAAGTCTTATTCCTGGTTCCACCACCAAATAGCTACTGGCTCTTGGGCCTTCACAAGTTGTTAAAACATTCCTAAAACCTAAGCTCCAGCTTCAGAAAGAACTGGCTTCTACTCCTGAACCTTCCACTTATTAGCTAGATGACCTTRGCAAGTTATTTAACTTCTTTGAGGTCAWWTTTTTTTTTTTTTTTATACCAGGGATTGAATTCAGGAGTGTTTTACCAATGAGCCATCTCCCCAGCCCTTTTCATTTTTTATTTTTAATTTTTTTAAAAATTTTGAGACAGGGACTTGCTAAGTTGCTTAGAGCCTCACTAAATTGCTGAGGCTGAMCTCAAACTTGTAATCCTCTTGCTCAGCCTCTGAGCTGCCACCACACTCAACTCTGAGGTTAATTTTAATTAATTATATGTTCTCATCTTTCAAATGATCTACCTCATAAGTTTGGTGCCATTTGRTGTTAACAATGAATAAGGCAAATTGATAGTTTATCATAGTATTCAACCCATACTCAAAAATGTTGGCTACCATCGACTGGCCATATCATGTAAGTAAAATAAGGATCTCAGAATCTGCCCAACTCACCTCTCAGATAATTAAGAGAGATAAGAGAAAAACATGAAAGTTCTCTGAAAATAAAGGAATGCTGAACAGACTTTTTACATGCTAACCTTATTATACCCACCACTGTCAATTTAAGCAACAGTAGGGCAGAGGCCAATATTTCTCCCTTATCACTCTATGGTGTGTCTCTGTACTGGGGAATTCCAGACTTGATTCAACGTCCCCACATGCTGTGGCCTCAGTGAGTGCAAGGCATTGTGCCAGATGAGAATCTATCACCTGGAGAGGAACCTTCCCATAGCCATGCCAACACCCAGCCCAAGCAGACTGCAATGACTGAAGAAGTTTAAAAGAAAGAGGGAGGTTAAGGGAGCCTTTGTGTATTGTACCTGAGGTGGCTTCAGGGGTCGATATAGTAGGAGGTGTTAGGAGGAGGGACAAGCATAAATATACATGAGCAGAGGGCAGGCTCAGAGAACAAGGAGCAACCCGCCTGATGCAGAGGTTTACCAGGGGAAGAGTAGGACATGCAGGTAAAGGGGCAGGAGCAGGGGCTCACGTGGAAGTGGTRAGGACAGACTAGATGAGAAGAAGTAGGTACAAACAAGAGGTGATGCAGCCTAGCAGGCCTGAGGCAATGGGGTGGGGGGCAAAAGAGATGGGCAAGGGTGGAAAAGGAGCCAAAGGATGCAAAGATTCTTAGTCTCTGTAATAGGATAAGTGGAGAAAGGCAGGAGAAAGGAGTTTGGAGTAGGGGACAGATGAGTTTTATCTTACTACATACTTCCTGAAGTGAATACACTAGGCTAACAATGACACAGGAATCTCACTTCTCAGCCAAAGGCCAGCTCTTGCCAGGAGAAAGTTAGGAAGGACAGAAGCCAGGGCAAAGATCAGTCCTAATACCTGAGGGAAGGAGGCTAGCCCAGTGACCTGAACAATGCTGGAGTGGGTGCTGCCTGACAAATGTGGGGTGACCTGCCTGGCTGCCCCTATGATTGTCGATGTGCCCCTAGCTCCGTCCTCTCACCTTCCCGGGTGAGCCTGCTCACATCCAAAGACTCCTTGGTCTTCTCTTCCACAAGAGTCTCAATCTCCTTCATAAGGTTGCCAATCTCCTGGGAGATGCGGACGGCGGTTTCCCGTTCTGACCTGTGAGCACAGTGGCTCTGAGGACTGTGCTGGGCCAGCCCTGGGCTCCCACCCCAGCTTCCCAGACTGGACCTGCCCACCCCTGGCCAGGAGTTCCCATCTGCCTGGGCGCAGGAAGCCTCAAATGCTTCATCAGATCCAATCATGCAGTTTCTTCAAGGGCCTCACTTCTGTTTCTCTTGTAGTCTCTTGGGAATAACCTCTTCTGGAGTCCATGAATCCTGAAAGTAGGCCAGGAAAAGTGAACTAGATAGGATAATGCACTCACCTACTTAATCCTCCAGATCTGCATGTGTGAATCAGGGGCCCAGGAGGAATCTGCCCCCTTTAGGAGTGAGGCGGAGCTCTCCAAACCCAAGTCATCTAGCTGCCCAGGCCCCTCATCCTCCTCGCTGCTCTCATCCCGGTGGCCCTCAGATCCCCCTGGCTCAGCCCCTGGCAGTCTTMTCCTCAGAGTTGTCCATTGTATTACTCCCTCACCCCTCAGTGCTGCCCCTCTTTCCTCCTCCCTCCCCCACTCACCGGATCCACAAAGGGAATTCCAAACACATCATAAGCGAAGAAAAGCAGCTCTTTCTCCAGCAGGCTGCGCTGTCGGTACTCCTGGGCACTCTGGAAACAGTGAGAGGACTCTCCTAGAGCTCAGGTGCCTTTCGCCCTAGGGTGGCCCTCCTTGGCACTCTGCACTGCCCTCCCTGTGACTAAGGCCTCCTGCCCCCACCATCTGGTATGTTTGCTCTTCAATTTGGGACAAAGGTCCCTGTGCTCAAGGGTTCCTCCTGCTTGGCACAAGCAATGCTCTGAGGACAACACAGCCAGGCTTCCCTTGAATAGAAACAGCTCCCTTCCTCCCCTTCCTCAGCCCTAATCTCCAGGACAGAAAATCTGATGATTCTCAGGAGATGAAGAAACATGCTTCAGCATTCCAAATTCCTCCTTGACTTCTGCACGAGTCAACAATCAGGTAGGAGGCCTAGCTGTTAGGCAACTCTCCTTTCATTGTGGGGGCCTGGGGAACTGAACCCCAAGGGCACTCTATCACTGAGCCACATCCCYAGTCCTTTTCATTTTTTATTTTGAGACAGCATTTCACTAAGTGGCTAAGGATGGTCTCAAACTTGTGATCCTTTTGCCTCAGCCTCCTGAGTCACCGGGATTATAGGTGTGAGTGACCATACCCAGTTTGTGTTAGTCATTTAATCTTTACGACCACCCCTGGGTAGATACTGTTATCCTCATTTTTCAGAACAACAAACTGAGGTGCAGAGGGGATCTGTTTAATGTGACTCTACAGGAAATGGGGAGCAGGGACCTACATTAAAACCAAGATCTCTAATCCTCAGGACCCTGTGCCTTCTACTCCACCACCTGCCTCCTTCAGAAAGACCAGACCCTATCCCTTCTTGAAGACAGGCAGCTGCAGAACTGCTGGACCCAACACTCTGGCTTCCCACATGTGCTCATAGGTAGGGCTTACCCAGGGTAGGGAAACTGAGTCCCTTTTGGGGTCACATCTTTCCCTGGGTGCCCTTCTAGTGTCCAAGCAGCAAAAGGAGGAAGGAAGAAAAAAAAGAAGACATMATTAGTCGAAATAAAAATGAGGCAGTTCAAGGAAGAAAGTGCTAAAGGAGCCAGTGAGTCCTATCAGCTGCTATAATTATCCAAGARGAAGAGGGAAATTTTCTTCTAAGGAGTTTAAATTACTGGCCTCCTTCACCAAGTGCTAGACACAAAGCCATCTGTGTTATCTCCTTTAACCCTCTCCAACAACTCAATGAGGCCAGGAAGCAAACCCCACTGCAGCCACTTATTCACTCAACACTGATTTATGAAGTGTCAGCTGTGTCAGAACTGTGCCCAAGAGGGACAAGCAGGGAACAGATTCCAGACACTACAAGTCATTCACAGGTCACACACAAGTTATTTCATCTACATGTCCTCCTCTCCACAGCTGAGGGGCAGCTGTGATGAYTGAATAGGATGATGCATGCTCAGCCACCCTGCATAGTGCTTGGTTTGTATGGGAGCTCAACAAATGCTAGCCACCTTTAAGAGGAAATTTATAGTTAAAAATGGTAGACTGACCACATGGGTTATTTTCCCTCCCCTTCTCAGACTCACTAATATAACCATAAAGAAAAAAAGACAAAGAGCCTGAAGTGCCATCTTAAAGCCAGATAGTCACCATCTAGTGGCCAGAGAGAACAACTACAGGGAAGCAGGACTTCACATGGGAGGGGCTGGCAAGACTCATGATTCCAGAGCCAGGAAGGAGGAAGGTTGGCTCTTCCCTCAGAGTGGTAGTCTTTGTGCTATAAAGACTTTGTGCTATAAAGAGATGGGGAAAATGCTGAAATATGGGAAAGAACTGACAATGGCAGCAAGAAGGTGCGATGGGTAGCGAAATGGAGAAAGCAGGTGAGTGGATAAAACCTAGCATGAAGAAAACAGTGATAGGCCTGGGCCAGAAGGTATAAGTGTCCCAAAGGGTGTACTAAGATTGGGAGAGCAGTTGCCTTACAGTTCTGCTTTCTGCACTGAATCAGAATGCAGATTGGGCCCAGATGGTGCTGGAGGCCCTGGCATGTTCCCAGTGCTCCCTGTGTTCCTTTTCTGAGTGACAAGCTGAGCCAGCGCATGCATGCACATGTGCCCAGGCATCACAAGGCCCACTCCCTTACAATGCCCTACTCTCTGCCCTCTGGTCAGGGTTCAGGCTGAAGCAAGTCTCTCACCTGGCGTGGGCTGATGGAGCTGGCCTGCTCTTCTCCAAGCATAGCTGTATAGTAGGCCAGATTCTGGCTCATCACCTCATCATTGGGGAAAAAGAGGAGATAGGTCTTGGCACATTCGATAGCCTGTGTATAATTCCCAACTGTAGTGTAAGAAAAAAGAAAAATGGCTGAGAGGAGGGGGTCTAATCCTGGGTACCAGGAATTACTTAGTGCTCAGTGTTCTTAAAACCAGATGGTCACCATCTAGTGGCAGAGAGAACAACTACAGGGAAGCAGGGCTTTACATGGAGGGAAAGAAGGAAGCTTGGCTCTTCCCTCAGAATGGTAGGCCTCCTGGCTTCAGTCTCAGCAAAGCTCAAGGCAATAATGACAGGCCAACTATATAACTCAACAGCCTGATTTGGGGGGAAGTTACAGAACACACAAATTATATAACTGATTTTTTGGTATTCAATATCAAGGCTGCCTATCACTGAGATGGGAAAGAAACAGCTTTCTGCATGCCCACATATTTAAAAATTCACAAATAATTAAAATACTGGCCAATATCCTGCCTCAATATACACACAATCATTAGACCAATTTCAGAAATATTCCCATCTTCCTACCTTCTTTTCCCTATGGAATCCCCAGAAGAGAGGGAAAGAATCACCTCTTTGATAGACAGCTCTTATTCATGTTAGTCTCTTCAACTCAGCTATGGGCATTGTGACCCTTTGGATATATATAATGCCTGGCTCACATTAGGAACTCAGCAAGAACCCATTGATTTGTTGGTTTTCTGGATACTGGCAGGATCCCTGTGATTTGGGTGCTATTCAAGGGAGCAGGGCTGGAAATGCCCTGTGAGTGGTTTAAACCCACTGTAACTTTTGCTATTACTTTTAATTCAAATGCAAAATTGCATTAAAATGTGACAAATGGAACAAGAGAAAGAGGTCCTACAGTCCTCCTCTCCATTTTTTGGGTGGCTAGAAATGGCTTCCTGGGCTACTAGCTTGTAACAAAGTACCCAGGATCACCAGGCATAGGACTTCCCATACTCACAGAAAGATGCCCAGTGTGTTGAAGAGATACAGTGGCTATAAGCCCTGACTATCCAACACAGCTTTTTAGTTCAGGTGGCAGAGAGAGAGAAAAGAAATTTGGCCTTACTATTATAGTAGGCAAACTGCAGATAATTATAATGTGATGGGAGGAAGTCTTCAAAGGGCTTTTCTCTACTTGGGTGGGAAGCCAGCTCGGTGACACAGTTCTGCTTACAGCTGAGGACCTGTACATAATGATCTGAAAGGAATCAAAAAGTAGGAATAACTATGAGGTTCACAAATCCTGGTTAAGATGAACAAATTCAAGTGGAAGCAATTTTTAGTTAGATTCCTAGACTTAAAAAATTGAGRAATGAGGATGTGAATGCTATACCTATATTATCAGGATGTTGACCTTAGAGCACTCTGAACTGCACATACCTGTGATGGCCTGGAAGAGGTCAGCGTTGTAGTCCAGGTAGTTGTAGCCATCATAGTCATAGGGCCCTTCACAAAGGGCTCGACACTCCTGGTCTGCCACAAAGTACTCTTGCAGTGCTGCCTCTAGGTGGGGCACGGCTTCCTGTGGCTGTTCCTCTGAGTAGAGTCGCACTCCCAGCCGAAACTCATGCTACTGGGAAGAAGGAAAACTCAAAGGCAGCTGCAGAGGAACTTCTCTGCCCTGCCACATCACTGGGGTCCTAATTCTTGCTCCTCAGTTATGGATGGGAAGGGGTGACCTGGGTGACTGCTATACAATGAGGGCCTTTTGTAAATAGGTTTTATGTGTTCTTTTTGATATTTACAAACATTTAACTCTTAATGCAGGCAAAAGATGAATGGGAATTCACTGTAATTTTCTTGTGCTCCCCCCCCCTTTTTTTTGGTAGGTCTAAAAGTTTTCAGATTAACGTAATTTGCACCTGAATATATCTTTTGTGTGTATACTGGGGATTGAATCCAGGAAAATTTTGCTACTAAGCTACACCTCAAGCCCTTATTTATTTATTTTTAAATTTTCAAGCAAGGCCTCACTAAGTTGCCTTGCCTGGGTCTTGAACTTGGGATGGGATTATAAGTATGCATTACCGTGTGCAGCAGAACATATAATCTCTCTTGTGGAAAGATTTTTCCTGCTGAACAAAAGATCAAGAACACTGAGGAAGCCCTGCACAGTGAGACTCTGGCTCAGTGGTTAAGTGCCCCTGAGTTCAATCTCTGGTATGGAAAAAAAAAAAAAAAAAAGAACATTGAGGAATACTGTACTAGGTACTATAGTGAAAAATCAAAAACATACATGACAAAAAAATGTGAGTAGTAAATTAATATGGTATTAGACTTAGGATCCCAAATGTACCCAAAAGCTCATGTGTGTAAGGCTTGGTCCCTAATGTAGCAGTGACTGGATCACCAGAGCTCTAATCTTATCAAAGGATTGATCCATTGATCCACAGTTTAAATGGGCTACTGGGAGGTGGTGGAATCTTTAGGAGGTGGTGGAATCTTTAGGAGGTGGGACCCACTTGGAGGAAATAGGTCACTGGAGGCATGTCCCTGAAGGGTATGCTTTGTCCTTGATCCTTTCTTTGCTCTTTCCCTCCGCTTCCTTGCCACTATGAAGTGAGCAGCTTTGCTCTACCACCAGCTCCCTGCCAGGATATTGTGCCTCATCATAGGCCAAGTAACAATGGAGACAAATAACCACTGACTGAAACCTTTGGAATTGTGAGCTCAAATAATCTTTCTTCCTTTTAGGTTATTTTTCTCAGGTATTTTGTTACAGAAAAGGAAATGACTAACCCATATAGTCTCTGCCTAAGATGGACTATCATGCAGCCATTAGACACTGTGCTTTTAGCCAGGCATGGTGGCACATACTTGTAGCACTAGTTACTTGGGAGGCAGAGGCAGGAGGATTGCTGAGACCAGCAGTTTGGGACTAGGCAACACAGTGAGACCCTATCTTAAAAAAAAAAAAAAAAAAAAAAAAGCCAGGTGCAGTGGCACACACCTGTAATCCCAGAGATTTGGGAGGCTGAGGCAGGAGGTTCGAAAATTCATGGCTAGTCTGGACAACTTAGGGAGACCCTGTCTCAAAATAAAAATAAAAAAGAATGGGGATGCAGCTCAGTAGTAGAACATTTGCGTAGGATACATGAGGTCCTGGATTCAAACCCTAACACCATTAAAAAAAATATATATATATACAAAATATAACATCAATTTAGGTAAAAAATTAGATGTGAAAGAATGGGTTTTCTTAAGGTGACGGTATTACCAATTAGTAGTTTCTGTTTTATATTTATCTTCTCTTCCTAATGTTGTGTAGCAAACATTTGTTACTTCTGTAATCAGAAAGCAACTCTAGCAAATATCACTTTTAAAATAGAGACAGAAAAGGGGATAAAGTCTTGTTCACCATATGGGGTTTGGCCTCAAGATCCTTGAAGTCAGCCTCCTTCACTCCAGACATGGTTTGGTAGTAGTCCAGGTTCTGCCGCATCTCCACATGCTCAGGATTGCCCACAAAGAAGGTGTGTGCTGCCGATACAGCTTTCTCCAGCTTGTTTATCTAAGGATCAAATACGAGAATATAATTCTGACATCCAAGCCCTGGGTTTGTGTCCAGCAGTACAGTCTATAGTAAACAGGAAATCCCAGCCTCCCTGAGCCTTTCCAAGCCTTCATTCATCATGCCCAGACCCTGGCAACCCCAGAACACACACTTATTTACAGGGATCTCATACCAAGCATTAGGAGCATAGTGCTCCAGGCAGATTTGCAGCTATTTCCTAAATCGGCTTAGTGGCTCCCCAAATTCTGGGAGGTAATGTTTCAGTACTATAAATCTTCTACTTTAAAATGAAGGACATATTGTAGGGGGAGCTATGATAACTGAATACCAAGAACCACAGTCCCAATAGTCAAATGTATGGACTGAGCTGAAGAAAATCTAAGGCTTCTAAAGAGCAGTTAACAATTACACTGTCTAGGAATTTTCCTGGAAAAGAATTTTGCTTAACAGAAAATCAAGAGTTTTTTGGACACATGTTCAGGGCAAAGGTAGATCTTTTATAAAATCCAGACCTGGGTATCTTCTGACTCAAAGACTAGAGATCATGAGGTTAAAACAGTTATTTAAAAAAAAAAAGTTATAAAAAAAAGTTATAGTTATTTTAAAAAATGTGCTATGGACCATAATAATGTCCACAGCAACGGAATCCAGCATATCAAATTCACACAGGTTTATATATAGACTCCAAAATAAATTAGAGGATCTAGTAGACTTTGGTGTCAGTCAGATCAGCAATAGATCTAGGTTTAATGACTCCCTTGCTGGACTTTAGATAATTTAAAATTTGCTTCCCAAATTCAGTTCCCTAATCTGTCGGCTGGAGTAGCACTCACTACCCATCTCATGGGATTTTGTGGGGTCAATAAGATGATATACATGTAGYTTTAAACACATGGTGCTCAACACAGATGGTGCTGGTATCCTTAATGTGTTAAAGAAGAAGAAGAAGAAGAAAAAAAAAAAAAAGCACACTAAAGGAGTCAGGCCTGGTTATGTGAACCAAGGTAAGTAATTCCCAGCTCTGTACCTCACTTTCTTTATCTTCAAAGTTAGGGTTTCTCCCATTTGTCCTTTGATGGATTTACTTCCCTTTATCTTTCAGCACAGCTCCTTACTTTCCCTGTTTTTCAATCTCTTCCTTTCCTCCAGATCTTCCTTACCTGTGAGGCACCTCACTCAATTCTCTCTGGTGGACMCTGGTGGACAAAGGCGCAGGTATCTTAATTCCCTGAATTGTTTCCACTGCCCTCACTTTCTCCTTCCAAAGCTTATTCCATGTGGCTTCTAGAATTAGTGCTCTAAAATCCAATTTCAATGATGGCTGTCTGGGATCTGCAGAATTTGCCCCTGAATCTGGTTTCACTAAACATTTTTAGTCTCCTCTTCTGCTGCTCCCCACACATATCCTGACCACCCAATCACAGCAATATATATATATATATATATATATTTTCTGAATACGTCATGCTTGGGTTTTAATTTTCCCTTTACCTGGAACAGCCATCCTTCTTTCCCAGGCAATATTTAGGACAGGCTCAATGTCACCTCTCAAGTCTCTCTAATTATTCTCTGAGATAAAGCTAGATTTTTCCTCCTTTGTGCTCACAACAGCCCTACTACATACTCTTTTGATAGCCCTTACTACAGTGATCCTTAGCAGCAAAGCAARACAATACAAAGAGTTAAGCATTTTAATCAGCTGTCCAAGAATTGGAATGCAGTAGGTATTCAATAAATGTTTGTCAAAGGATTTTAAGTAGTGCTATTAAGTGACATGACCAAAGTCATAGTCCAATCATTTTAAAGTCCAGTACTCTTCCAAGCAACCAGGAGGAATGAAGGGGTACTACACAAGCAGAGTGCTCTTGCAGAGGTGGAAATCTGAGGTCCCCAAGAGTCTCTAAGTTTCTTTTTAGGTCTGTTGAATTATGAATATAATAGATACGCAGCACACCTCCTTCTTTCCCCTTCTCTTCAATAAATGAGACTAATAGTAGCATCTACTTCACAGGGTACCATGTGGATGAGGGCAAATAAGTTAATAAATGCTGTGCTTAAAACAGCGCGTGGAAGTACATGTGGTCTATCATCATCATCACACAAGCCTGGAACCCTTAAAGCCTATTTGTACACAGTTGGCACTGTGGCATTCCTAAAAACACTAATTTTCTTTGGAAACTGGCAGATTAGCCAGAGGGTCTCCCACAGGGTGGAGCCAGGCAGCCCCTGATGGCAACGTGGCAATCCCACGTCCTGAAGGAGCGCTGCAGGAAAAGCATCATTAGAGAACGAACCGGAAGGAAGATATTGTAGAAAGCTCCCGGCTTTTCACTTGGACATTTACAATGAATCAGGATGGGAGACCCAACCTGCTGCTTTAGTTCCCTCTTGGAGCCATTATGGGAATAAAAGGTCAATCCTTTCTTGGCCTGGGACCTAACCCCAGACTGGACCTTTGGGGTTAACATCTGTCCATAATAACTGGGCGAGGCGGGTCCCCTAGCGGTTTCTCTGTTCTCCCTGGGTCTGAGGAGAGCTCCCCAGCCAGGAGGCCACCCTCCCTCTCTGCGAATACTTCCCTGGTCCTCCAGTTCCCCAGGTCACCTGCAACCATTCTCCGAAGTACCCCAGGTCGCCTGCAACCATTCTCCGAAGTACCCCAGGCAGGTCCGCACCTTGAAGTAGGCGACCTGCAGGTAGTTGTAGGGGCTCCGCTTGCGGAACTCTAACTCCAGCTCCTCGCTGAGTGAGTGAGCGGCCGGCGGCCCAAGGCAGCGGCGCAGGCAGGCGGCGCGACGAAGCAGGCCCCCAAAGAAGCGCAGGTCGTGCAGGGCGGCAGCGCCCGGGGCCTGGGCCAGACTCGCGGAGGAGCCGGAGTCCAATTCCCACGGCAAGTCGGCTGCACATTGGGTGCGACAGCGCAGGCGGAGGGCGCGCAGGGCGGCCCGTGAACGCAGCGCCCGCTCCATGCTCAGGACGACCCCGGCCCAGTCCCCGCGCGCGTAGGCCGCGGTCCCCTCGGCGAAGAGCAGATCAGGCGCCGCCAGGTCCCATCCCGTCTCGGACTCGCCCTCGGCCTGGGAGGCGGTGGCAATCGCCAGCAGTATGGTCAGCAGCCTCCACAACTGCGGCGCCATCACCTCCAGAGACTTAGCGGGACCACAAGCCACCCGCTGCTGAGGACAGGATCCCACCCCCGCAAGGTCCCGCCCCTGGGAGAAGCCCCGCCTCTTAAGAGAGCGGCGCATGCGCATGGTCACACACCTTCTTGCTATCAACGTGGTCCCCGCCCCTCAGAGCAACTTTAGGGTTTGCTGGAGCCCCGCCTCCGCGTTCAGGCCGCGCCCCATCGCTCCAGCGTCCAGTGGCCCGGGAACACGGAAGCTCCGCCCACAAGGCGTTGTGCGCACGCTCTTCTGCCCAAGGAGGTAGAGTAGCCGTCATGGAGAACGCTCCGCCGTCTGGGCCGGAAAAGAAAGACCCTGAAAGTCCAGGAGTGCAGCAGGCGGCTGCAGGTCAGGATGGTATGCGGGGCGGAGGTCAGCTTGGGGAAAGAAGTCCCCGCTGGCAGCTAGTCTCTGGGGTTCAGCGGGAGGCTGAGGGCGGGAGCTCACAGCCTGTGTTCCTGGGTGTGTGTCGCAGGATCCCTGGTGGAGCTCACCCCAACCCCCGGCGGCCTGGCTTTGGTGAGCCCCTATCACACCCACCGGGTCGGGGACCCCTTAGACCTCGTGGCGCTCGCAGAGCAGGTGCAGAAGGTGAGGAGGCGCGGCTGGGAAAGTGAATAACTGTCTTCCTTTGAGGTTTGCTCTACCTGTTTTGACTTGGACCTTASAGCCACTAAGAGTGGGGTTCTTGTCTGCTTTTTGCAGAGGGTGAAAGTCGACTGTCTTTCTGAGTCGGTTGCCTGACTCAAACTCTAATCTTCTGAGACCAAAGATACCTTCTACTGCAGGTAGAGTGCCCACAATTTCCCTCCGTGGGAAGGTCTGCAAAGCATTTTCAGTACATTATTTCATTTGCGCCTTAGCACATCCCTGTGAGGTAGGCAGTACAGAAGTTCTCTTTGATGCGTGAAGATCATTCTAACCCAAATTTTTCAAGGATGTATAGTTCAATTATTTTAAGCTGCTCCCATAAAATCTTTATCTGTTTACCTGAGAGCTTGAAGAATTTAACATATTCTAGGAAGGGTAGGACTTTTAAGTTTTGCCCTGTATTCTCATTCACTGGATACAGTATTCTCATATTCTCATGCTCAGAGCTTACACATTCATTGGCAAAATAGGTAAAATAAAGAGAAACTACAAAATATTGGGAAAAGCACTGGAAGTTTGGATACATGAGCCTTCTTTCTACATCTTTTTTTTTTTTTTTTTTTTTTTAACAGTAAGAACAGCCTTAAATGGTTGCAACGAAGAATGGAAGAGAGAGTATAGAACAGCTCTTCTTCCTGCTGGGGTGGCATTCACAGTTGCTCTCCACTCTTTGCACTTTTTTTTTTTAATTAATGCATTATAGTTGTGCATAATGTTGGGATCTGTTGTTACACATTTGTACCATGCACACAATATAACTTCCCTCTTCTTTCCTCTAAATTTATTGGTACTGGGGATTGAACCCAGGGGCATTTTCCAGCCCTTTAAAAAAATTTTTGGGAGGTACTGTGGATTGAAATCAGGGCACTCGACCACTGAGCACACCCTCAGCCCTATTTTGTATTTTATTGAGACAGCGTCTCACTGAGTTGCTTAACACCTCGCTTTTGCTGAGGCAGGCTTTGAACTTTGGGTCCTCATGTCTTAGCCTCCTGAGCTTCTGGGATTACAGGTGTGTGCCACTATGCCTGGCCTTTTTTAAAATTTTGAGACACGTTCTGTTATGTGTTTGGATGTGAGGTGTCCCCCAAAAGCTCATGTGTGAGACAATGCCAGGTTTAGAAGAGAAATGACTGGGTTATGAGAACCTTAACCAAATCGGTGAATTAATCCCCTGACAGAATTAACTGAGCAGTAACTGAAGGTGGGTAGAGTGTGGCTGGAGAAGGTGGGCACTGGTACTGTGCCTTTGGGGTATATATTTTGTATCAGGTAAGTAGAGTCTTTCTGCTTGCCGATCATCATGTGAGCTGCTTCCCTCTGCCACAGTCTTGCACCATGATATTTTTCTTCACATTGAGCCTTGGGGAATGGAGCCTACTCTCTGTGGATTGAGACATCTGGAACTGTGATCCCCCAAATAAACTTTTCCTCAACTACAATTGTTGTGGTCAGTTCTTTTAGTCATAGCAGCAAAAAAGCTGACTAAAACAGAAATTGGTACTGAGAGGTGCTCAGTACAATTATTGTTATTATTGTTATAGTTGTTACTAACCTGACCATGTGGTTCAGAAGCTTTTGGAGCTTTTTGGAATTGGTTGGAGAAATTTTGACATGTTTAGCAGTGCTGGAAATACTTTAGATTGTTTTAAGCGGAGCTTAATGGCCAGTTCTGGTGGAAGCTGGAAAGACCAGAATGCCAGTAGGACTGTGGACAGTGAAGACAGTGAACCCTCACGAGGGTTCAGAGAAGGAGGACTCTATTGGAAATAGGGCTAGAAGCCATTYGTGTTATGTTGTAGCTGAGAAGTTGTCTGCATTTTGCCTGTGTCCTGAGATTCTCTGTGAGGCTGATTTTAAAAGTGATGGACTTTTTAATCTGGCAGAAGAAATTTCTCTGCAGCATAGCATTCAGGCAGTAGCATGGATATTGGTAGTGACTTTTAGCCAAATTTATTGTGATAATCAGGAGCATAAAGCAGAGCAGAAAGATTTGAAAAACTTGGACTTGAAATGTGGACTGAAAACTGGGGCTAAGGAAGTTGCAGTTGTTAAAGACACTACTACCACTAAAGAAATGTTAAAGACTGCCCAGGGACAATAAGAAAGGTGGCTTGAAGTTATTTCAGCATTTGGCAAGATCATATCCATCTCAGGCTCAGGAGGTAAAAGTGAAAATTCTCTTGAGGAGAGACCAGTGGAGCACCCTTCTTGCACAAGGGGGTCTAGGAGTTTTTTTCAACATGCTCAGCTACCTAGATACTCAGAGGTTTCTGTAGTCGGGGTCCCTGGAGGTTTGGCTACTGCTCAAGATGGTAGCAGACCTTGGAATCAACCATGTGGTGCTATTTCTGCAGGAATGCAGGATGCTAGAATTAGGGGGTCATGGAGGCTTCCATCAAGATTTCAAAGGAAGGCCTGGGAGACCAGGCAAAATGCAGCAGGATCAAGTCTCTGTGGGTGACCTCTGAGAGGCCGATGCATGGAGATGTGAGGACCCCCAAGATTTAAGAAATGTGGAGACCCCCAAGATTTAAGAAATGTCAGTACCATGGAATGTCCCCTGAGGAAGGCTACAGGAATTGTACAGGCAAGCCAACAGAAAGGCCTCTTGGGCTGCAACCAACAAGGTCATGAGGCGGAGCTACAGGAGCCCTTTGAACAGAACATCACCATGTCACGTGCCCCAGATGCCAGACTTGTTCGCCCAGCTGGATTTCAGTCTTGCTTTGGTTCCATCCCTTCTTTCTATGCCCCTATTTTTTAGAATAGAAATCTTTACTCTCTGCCCTTCTATATTGGATACTTGTAAACGGCTTTTGACATTTTTAAAATAAATAAATATTTATTTATTTTAGTTATAGGTGGGCAGTATCTTTATTTTTATGTGATGCTGAGGATTGAACCCAGTGCCTCTTGCATGCTAGACAAGCACTCTACCTCTGAGCCACAACCCAGCCCTGCTTTTGATTTTGACAAGAGCTTATAATGTGAAGTTGCCCTATGTCTCAGAGGAGACTATGATCTTGAACTTTGAGATCTTGGAACTGTTGAGACTATGGGAACTCTGGGAAATGGACAAAATGCATTTGCATTGGAGATAGTCATGAGCTTTAGGGGACCAGGGACAGAATATTATGGTTTGGATGTGAAGCTTCCCCCTAAAGCTCATGTATGGGATGATGCAAGAAGGTTTAGAGGAGAAATGATTGTGTTATGAGAGCCTTCTTCCAATCAGTGAATTATTCCCCTGACAGGATTAACTGAGCAGTAACTGAAGGAAAGTAGAGTGTGGCTGGCACTGGTGATGTGCCTTTGGGGTATATATTTTGTATCGGGTAAGTAGAGTTTTTCTGCTTGCCGATCATCATGTGAGCTGCTTCGCTCTGCCACACTCTTTCACAATGATGTTCAACTTCACATTGAGCCCTGAGGAATGGAGCCTGCTCTCTGTGGATTGAGACTTCTGAACTGTGAGCCCCCAAGTAAAATTTTCCTTGACTACAATTGTTTTGGTTGGGTCTTTTAGTCACAGCAACAAAAAAGCTAACTAAAACAAAGTCTCAGTAAGTTTCTTAGGGCCTCTCTTAAGTTGCTGAAGCTGTCTGAACTTGTGATTTGCCTGCCAAGTTGCTGGAATTATAGGCAGTAACCCCCAACCCAGCTTGACACAGAGTCTTACTCCTATTTTGACGTTACTTTCAGGCAAATACTTCTCTGGACCTCAGCTTCTTTATCTGTAAAGTGAAGGATTTGAAGTAGGAGAACTACTAGATCCAGAGGAAAAACCTATTCCGTGAAAAATTAAGTTCCTTCTCATCCCCYTTTTTTTTTTAGTATTTATTTTTTTAGTTGTATTTGGACACAATACCTTTGTTTATTTATTTTTATGTGATGCTGAGGATTGAACCCAGGGTCTCACACATGAGAGGCAAGCGCTCTGCCACTGAGCTACAACCCCAGCCCCCCTTCTCCTCTCTTAGCAAGACTTCCAGTATGCAAAGATTTAGGGAGGATCCTGCTGCTTTAAAGCTTATGATATCCCCTTATCCTTATATACAGTCTCATATTTGTTCTTCTTTCTTTTTTTAAAGAGAGAGAGAGAGAATTTTTTTTTAATATTTATTTTTTAGTTTTCGGTGAACACAACATCTTTGTTTGTATGTGGTGCTGAGGATCGAACCCAGGCTGCACGCATGCCAGGCGAGCGCKCTACCGCTTGAGCCACATCCCCAGCCCATATTTGTTCTTGATTATATGTTTGTTTTGCTCATAAAATTTATTTATTAAATGTTAACAATACTTGAATTATCATTTGATAATATACTCAAATTCCCTAATGTAAACATCTCTACTGTTTTTTTTTAAGAAAAATTGAAATATTTAGGAAAGCTCTTTTTTTTTTAACAGTTTTTAGTTGTAAATGGATCTTTTAATTAATTAATTAATTAATTAATATGCGGTGCTGAGGCCTCACACTTGCCAGGCAAGTGCTCTACACTGAGCTGCAACTCCAGCCTAGGAAAGCTCTTTTATTTAAAACCTTATGCTTTTTCCTTTTTAGAGAGGGAAGCAAAGCACCTTTTATGGATTAGGAGAATATCTTGTATCTATGTAATCAGAGCACTCTTATTGGGAGGTAGACTGCCAAGGGCAAAATCTTGGGCAAACAACCTTTTTATTTATTTATTTATTTTGTGGTGCTGGGGATTGACCCCAGGGCCTTGTGCGTGCAAGGCAAGTACTCTACCAACTAAGCTATATTCCCCAGCCCAGCAAACCACATTTTTATATGTACTAAGTGATTCTTATGTTTACTACAATGATCTGAACCAAAGAAATAAGGAATACAGTTTTTGTCTTTGATCCTATAATCTAGTGAAATATAAAGGATGCCTTATTGTGCTGCCTGAATTTCTTCAATGTAACCAGTCTTTGAGAAGTGAAGAAAAAACACTCTAAAGATAAGCTTTGAATCTAGTTACTGTACTGAAATGTACTTTCTGGCAAGACTGAATTCTGATACCCTACTTAAGATTCAGAAAGCTTGGGAGGTTGGGTATGGAGGACTGAATTTTAGACCCAAACTGATCTATGTTCAAATCCTTCAACCGCCATTTACTAGCCATGAAACTTTTAGTTTGATTCACCTCTATGAGTCTTAATTCCTAAAATGAGAAAGTGGGACTGTCATCTCCATCTTCATAAAGGTGTCACGAGAGTTAAATTCTGATGATATAAAGATCTTTGGAGTGGTTAGGGCCAAAGTTAGTAATTATAGGTACTTTCTCCTTTGTTTCTATTTTAATTATGTTCTTTGATTTATAAGAAACAGATTCACTGCTACCATTTTAAGGAAAAAGAGATTTCTTATAAGACTGTAGAATCTACCTGCTGTAGAATCTACCTTAGCTGTGGAATCTACCTGCTCTATCACTAGCTATATGGCTCCTTTGTCCTGGGAACAAAATGCAAATTCTTTTACCTTGGACCATAGGGCCGTACAAGATCTGTTCTCCATCCTGACCACCATTCAAATGACAGTATTGTTCATTGAATTTGACCTTTTGGCTACACATAGATTCCAATTCCTATAATTCTCACACTTCTTATTACTAAACAAGTTACTTAACTCATTTGTTATCTTTGACCTGCTATGGTCACATAATTATGGCACATCGGTATTTTGAATGCATGTAGTACTAACTTTAATTATTCTTATTTTTATTGTTAGTATTATTTATTGGAGCTATACCATAAAGTAAGGTAGCCACCATCCACATATTTCTGTTGAATTCTTGGATTGTGCAGTTAGTGTGACCAAGGAACCGAATTTTTAATTTAACTTAATTTGAATTTTAAAACCTGATAATTGATTCAGTTATTAGAATTTAAATTTAAATTTGATACAATTTGAATACATGGATCAACTTCATAAATGTAGATTTTGTGTGATTTAAACATAGGTCATGTATTTCCAATGAAGATTTAGCATCCAAATTGAGATGTGCTGAGTATAAAATATACACTGCATTTTGAATACTTACTATGAAATGTAAAATAACTCATTAGCAATTCTTTTTAACTTTACACAAATGTTCATAGCAACTTTATTCATTATAGCCCAAAAATGTTACCAGACATCCATCAATTGATTAACAGAAAATAAAATGGTATATGCGTACAATGGAATATTGTTGAGCAATAAAGAAATTTAGTTCTGATAGAAGCTACATGGACAAACTTTGAAAACATACTTAATATAAGAGTGATAATCCTTCTGAGATCACTCTAGTCTGTCCTGGCTTTGAGAGTTATATGGTCTGTTTTAAGCAAGTTCTGTAGCCTTTAGTTGTATTTCTTGGCACATGATGGGCAGTCTTCCGTGTGGATGATAACTTTCTGTCAGGTATACGTGTAATGTAGTGTGTGTGTGTGTGTGTGTGTGTAAGGATATGTGTGGTACTAGAGGTTTCAAGTATTATACAAGTACTGAGCTACACCTCACTCCATTTTTATGCCACTGGGGTTGAACCCAGGGATGCTCTACCACTGAGCTACATCCCCAGCTCTTTTTAAATTTTTATTTTTTGAGATAGGCTCTCAGTTGCTGAGGCTGGACTTAAACTTGCTTTCCTCCTGCCTCATCCTCCTGAGTAGCTGGAATTTCAGGCATGCATCACCATGCATAGTTAATCTTTGTTTCTTTTTTCTCCAAAGAAGAATATTGCTGTGGTTGCCCAGGCTGACCTTGAACTCCTGGGCTCAAATGATCCTCCTTCCTCAGCATTTTAAGTAGCTGAGTCTATAGGTGTGTACTATGATATCTGCCTTCATAACATAGTCTTTTAAAATACATTTTGATTATCATTTAGAAATGCAACAGTAAGTTAAAATGTAGGGCTGGGATTGTAGGTCAGTGGTACATCGCTTGCCTAGCACATGTGAGGCACTGAGTTTGATCCTCAGCACCACATAAAAATAAATAAATAAAGATATTGTGTCCATCTACAACTAAAAAAGTATATATATTTTAAAAAAWTTAAGCTTTCCGGACTAGGCCGAGCTGTAGGCGCCATCATGGGAATCAACATACGCCACAACAAGGACCGAAAGGTTCAGCGCAAGGAGCCCAAGAGCCAGGACATCTACCTAGGGCTGTTGGGCAAGTTGTACAGGTTTCTGGCTAGACGAACCAATTCTACCTTCAACCAAATGGTACTGAAGAGGTTGTTCATGAGTCGCACCAATAGGCTACCTGACTCCCTCTCTTGGATGATCCGGAAGATGAAGCTTCCTGGCCGAGAAAACAAAATAGCTGTGGTGGTGGGGACCATGACGATGATGTTCGTGTTCAGGAGGTGCCCAAACTGAAAGTGTGCGCACTGCGCGTGAGCAGCCGAGCCCACAGCCGCATCCTCAAGGCTGGGGGAAAGATGCTCACCTTTGATCAACTGGCCCTGGACTCCCCCAAGGTCCGTGGCACAGTCCTSCTCTTTGGTCCTCGCAAGGGCCGAGAGATGTACCGGCATTTTGGCAAGGCTCCTGGGATCCCACACAGCCACACCAAACCCTACGTCCACTCCAAGGGCAGGAAATTCGAGCACGCCAGAGGCCGGAGGGCCAGCCGTGGCTACAAAAACTAATCCCGGTTTTACTGTTAACAAAGAGGCTTTGAATTTGGGGGAAAAAAATTTAAGTAGGTATGATGTAATTCAACTGAGGTAAAGTGTCAGATTAACAGATCTTATCTACATTAGCAGGAAATAAGAACCATATCACAAGTGTTTTGATTTTCATTGTTAAGACCCATTACTGATTTAGAAGTATTTAAACATGAGAAACCAAATAGGAATCCTAAGAAATTCTTGATTAGCCAGGCAGAAAGCAAGGAGAAAAATATATTAGGTGGAGGGGAGGCATATTCAATATATTTGGTAGCAAGAGGGTAGGACATATTGGAGGGCCAAAGAAATCAGAATGTGGCTAGAGTTCACAGTGAAAGCAATGGAAACTGACAAGAAGGAGCACTTAATTCTGGTGTGGAGTCTTGTCAGGGTGGCAGTGCCATTTGAGCTGGGCCTTGGGATGGATAGGAATTTATGTGGCAATAATGAGAATGGGAAGTACTTTAGGTGTAAGTAAAGATGCTGACATAACTCTTTTCTCTGGGATCTATATAAGAACATCATAAGTCATATTCTTTCTTACCCTGCAGTTTGGTTTTCTCCCACCTACAGGCTGATGAATTTATTCGAGCAAATGCCACCAACAAATTGACAGTCATAGCTGAGCAGATCCAGTATTTGCAAGAACAAGCCAGGAAGGTAAGGAAAGACTTTAGGCTGGCTGGCCGCTGGCCTGTCTGCCTCTCTCCTCCCTCCCTCCCTCTCTTCCTTCCTATACTGGGGTTGAAACTGGGGTACTCTACATTTGAGCCACATCCCAACCCTATTCATTTTTTATTTTGAGATAGGGTCTCCCTAAATTGCTGAGGCTGGCCTTGAACTTGCAATCCTCCTGCCTTAGCCTCCTGAACAGCTGGGATTACAAGTGTGCATGACTGTGCCCAACTTCATTTTTATTATTTAGTTCATAAGATCGACTGTAGTTGCTTATTTGTCTTTGGTACCTTCTAAGAGATGTAGAGGTTTTGAGTAAGATAGAAGGAATAAACCTGAGAGGTTATATTATTCTGTTTAGTGTTACTGTGATGAAATACTTAAGGCAGGTTAACTTTATTAACAAAACAAGATTTATTTRGCTCACAGTTTTGGAAGTTCAGGGACAGGTGCTGGCTTGTTCAGCTCTGGGGGGGGGGGGGTCCTTCTTGGCTATATCTAGTCATGGCAGCAGTGTGTGTGTGTGTGTGAGAAGAAATCTCATCACCCAAAAGGTAAGCAGAGAGATTTTCAAAGCTCAGGCTTTCACAGCAACACGTTCTCACTCTCTGAAGAACTCCCTGCAGGAAAACAGTATTCTCTTCTCAGAGCAGCATCCCCAGGAACCCGAGGACCTCCCACTGGGTCCCACATCTTCCATTAGCACTCATATCACCACACTAGTGACCAAACTCCCAGGACGTGGACCTTTGGGAGACAAATGGCAGCTAAACCATAGCAGAAATTGAGAATAAGATTTATTTATTTATTTTTTAAACCAGGGGAGAATTCAGTGAGGTAAAGCCTTTCAAAGGAAAAAAAAAATGTATTCTTTTACAAAAGAAATGTACTGGGCTGGGGTTGTAGCTCAGTGGTAGGGCACTTGCCTCCCACCTGTGAGGCCCTGGGTTTGATCCTTAGCACCACATAAAAATATACGAACAAAAATTAAGATATTAAAAAAAAAATAGTAAGAAAGAAAGAAATGTACTTACCACAGAAAAAGAGGAAAGAAACTTAAGAACCACCCAAACCCATTAATGCTCAACACTTTGAAATATAATTCTAAAGACATTTTCTTCAGCCTAGTAGCAAAATTTAATCTTTATTTCTTTAGAATTATCTGGATGCCAGTAGTGATTTATTGTTGTGGGGAAGCAAGATGCCAAGTGTTGCAGTTTTCACATTTTGATTGCAATGAAGCCTGAGCATGAGTGCCTATTACCTCTGATCCTCATCTGTTGCGCCTCTGTGGTTCACAGGTACTGGCAGATGCTCACAGAGATGCCGACTTGCACCGTGCAGCTTGTAATATGGTGAAAAAACCTGGCAACATTTACTATCTTTATAAACGGGAGAGCGGTCAGCAATACTTTTCCATTATTTCTCCACAGGTAGGAACATTTACTCTTCATCCCCAAACCTACTCCAACCTTTGAGAAATTCTTGGCATGTGTGTATGAAAGTAAATAGACATAGACTGGTAAATTTTTGCCTAGAAAATTGGGGGTGGTGTGATCCCAGGCATAACTCTAATAAAACGTGTGTTTGCTTTAAATTACTTCATTTATTATCTCTGTTATGGGAATATCTGATATATAATGTAACTGCTTTTCAAGTATGGTCTGGCTAGTCTGAAGTGAAAAGCCAAAATAGAAATTTGTGGATAACTAGGAAAAGAACTCAGTTTACTTACATCCTGCTCTGATCAGAACCCACTCCTTTGCCTTTTCTAGGAATGGGGGACTAGTTGTCCTCATGACTTTCTTGGTGCCTACAAGCTTCAGCATGACTTGTCCTGGACTCCATATGAGGACATTGAGAAGCAAGATGCTAAAATCAGCCTAATGGACAAGCTGCTGAACCAGCCAGTGGCCCTGCCCTCCTGCACTGAATCCACCTTCCAGAGACTGACTAATTGAGCGTAGACTCTGGCCAGCAGCTCTCACAACAAGGGCCTGTTGCCTCCTTGTGGCCCCTGTTCTCTGCATTGATGGGGCAGGGTCATGGGATCTGAGGACTTGTAGGTGAATCAGGAACTTCTTGGAAGGAGACCCTATGTGAATGTAATTGCTTTTGTTTTTATTGCTTTTAATTGGGTTGGTAAGGAATCACAATACTCTCTTTTGGGATCTCCTTGGAGCAACAGATGCCCAGTTGGAGGTCACTCTCAGTTCCTTGATACTTTGGCCTCTGCAAGATGGCAGCTTTCTTCATCAAAGCAGAAAGGGTAAGAGTCTACTAGCAGGACAGGAATTAATCTCACACAGTCTATTCATAGAAGTGACGTCACCTTTGTTGTATTCTCTTGGTTAGAAACAAGTCTGCAGGCCAGCCCACACTCAAGGGAGGGAATTACACACAGGCATGAATACCAGAAGGCAGGGATCACTGCATCGTTGAATAGACTTAAAATTTGTTTGCCGTGGTGCTCAGTTGAGAGGAAAAAAGAAAAGTCAATTCTGGCTAAAAGAGGCGATATTACAAAGTAGTTGAGTGCAATGATGTTAAAGTCACAGATCTGGACTTGACTCTTCACTCTGACAAAATAACTTATAGCTGGCATTCCTGCTTCCCCTCTGTCCCCTCTCCAGTCCATTCTGCATATAGTTAGGTCGATCCTTTGAAAATGCAAATCACTCTTACCATTGACTTTTCCAACCACTGGAACTGGAGAGGAGTTATTCAGAAGAGAGAAATACAGTTACCATGCTGATGCACTCCCTGCACTGACCTTTAGGTAGTGCCATTCCTTTCCTGTTTAAGCCAATGATCAGGCTTAGGGAAGGCTAGTGGTAATGTCAGAATCGTGGACTAGGACTCAGTGATGATGTACAGTAGCTATTTTTCATTCAACCATCCAGCTGTCTACCCAGTAATTCTGTAAGTATTAACACCTTCTGGGGTCCAGGTTCTAGAGAATAATACAGCTGAAAAAGGGCCCTATTTCACAGGAGTGCGCAGTCTAGTGGGTGAGGAGCAAGCCAGTGACTACAGCGTGCTATAAGAAGTGCTGTGCTAAAGGTATGCACTGGATATTCTAGAACATAAGCTTGGGAGAATTTGGGAAGACTCTTTGGAGGAGCTGATTCCTGGGTGTTGAAAAATAACTGGGGGCTCCAATTATCTTCTCTATGGGAAGTGTGTCTTTTAGGGGTTAGGGTAGGGTTCATTTTTGGATGAAGTTTATTTGTAAATGAAGGAAAGGACATCCTTTTACAGACCACATCAACCAGAATAATCATGGGCACCAGGATGGGTGCAGGGGGATATATCCTGCCTAGAAGATTCTTATTTCTGACAGCTGGGGGATAGATGAAAAGTGGGAACAAAAGCAATTCCAAACAAAAAGTAACATGTGAAGGTGTTGATAAGAAGCAGCATGGCATTTGGGGAATTGGATCCAGTCTAAAGTGAAGAATATGAGGCTTGTTGAACCAATGCAGACTCATGGAGGTAGTGGTGGTGAGTGGGCCCTGGTCACTCAAGCTGAGAGGTTGACTTTAGAGCTTTCACTGCTGTAGCACTGCTGGTGGCCTCTGCTTTCAGAATTCCTGTTAAGAATGTGGGTGAGAGCTTAGAGCATTGGTGCACGCCTGTACCCCAGTCACTTGTGAGGTTGAGGTAGGAGGAACTTAAATTGAAGGCCAGTCTCATCAGTTTAGTGAGGCCCTAAGCAACTTAGTGGAACCCTATCTCAAAAAGGCAATCATGGTACCCCCCTCAAAAAAAAAAAAAAAAAAAAAAAGGAAAATGAAGAATATGAGCCAGGGCTATGGGAGAAGAACTAAGGTAATGATGTAAAGATTAGGGAGTTGGTAGTGTTGGCTTTCTAGAAGCCTCATTTTGGCTGTGGAAGCTGGATGGGGGAAAACCATTAGGAGCTTCTGTCCCTAGTCCAGGCAGGAGATGATGGGGTTGTAAACTAAGTTTGTGGTGGAATGAGAGGTACCATATTTCCTCAGTGGTAAGATAACACTTCTTCCCCGACATTTTAGTGTCTGAAACCTGGATGCTTCTAAAAGTCAATGGCATGTCACAGTTAATGTGACATTTTTTCCTTTCTTCAAGCTACATGAAATAATGATGTGTCTTATAAGGGATGGTGTCTTAGATGAAGCAAGACATTTTGAAAGTAAAATAAATTGCCATTTTATTGACAATAAAATGGGGGTGGTGAGTGAGAGGGAGAAACTTGGATAATGCTTGAATTTCTGGCTTAAGTATCTCCGTGGATCCACAACAAAATATGGAAGAGGAAGACATTCCTGATATTTTCCAGGATAATTAGTGATCTATATTTGCTGCAATAATCCACCTTGCTGGCCCTGCTCAGGCTCACTGGGTTTAATAACTGATGGGTCTAGAAGGAGGGCTTTTCCTTCTAAAGTTGTCGCTCCAGTCAGTTCATGAACACTGAGAGTATTAGTGTTGTAGATCACAAAGGTGGTGAAATCCTGTGTAGTGAGCAGGTATACCATTATCTCACTGAATTTTTATATAAACCCACCACCTATTAAGTGTATATTTCTATTTTGTAGAGTGAGCATCTGCTCAGATTCACAAAATGGCCCGTGGTTATAGAGATTACAAAGTGGTAAGTTTGATTCAAATATTCCTATTTGATTCCAGTCTGACCATAACCTTAATCATGTTTTGGTTGATTAAGATAGTCCTAAAGGATGTCATTGTAGAGCTAAAAAGAAGCTACATTATAAAAGTGATATAGTAAGATGTATATATGAGATACTATGAGAATAGTCCATTTAGTGTTTAGTGATTGCATGGACAAGAGGATACAGAAAACAGAGAAGTAACTTCTCTAAGGACACACAACTCCAGAAGCAATTGAGCCCATGTCTATGGCATCAAAACCTGTATGCAAAAAATAGGGCTTAGCTGGACACAGTGAGGAACACTTGTAATCCCAGCAACTTGGGAGGTTGAGGCAGGAGGATTTGCAAGTTCAAAACCAGTCTCAGCAACTTAGATCCCATATTAAAATAAAAAGTAAAAAGGGCTGGGGATGTGACTTGGTGTTTAAGCACCCTGAGGTTCAATCCTGGAGACTGGAAGGAAGGCATTTCTAAGTGCCTAGACGAATTAGACTTCTGTAATTTAGGCAGATTTGATTCAGTGAATCATTCCTTACTTGAAAGCCTTTTTTCTTTGTTTTGATTTGAAATATTATATTCTGCTTTTCTACTACTTCACTGACTGTACCTTTTCTGTGTCTTGATCCTCCTCTTCATGATACCTATACATGGAGGCCAAGTCCTAGGTACTCCCTTTTTCTCCCTACTGGGTGATCTAATCCATTCTTTAGGCTTTAAATACCATACCTGAGCTATTGACTCATGTGCATGTCTCCAGTTCTGATCTGTCCTCAAGTCCACATGCACTTGCTTGTCTAGCAGTCGTACTTGACATCTCCTACTTGGCTCATACTCATAAATTTAATATGTTCACAACTAAACTCTGAGTTTACCCCTAAAACCTGTTTCACTCCCAGTCCTCTTTTTCCATCAGCACCTGTCTCATAGTTACTGAGGCCTAAAACTAAGTCAGCCATGATTCCAGATGTTCTCCCCACATCAGTCAGYAAGGCTCAGCTCTGCCTTCAAAGTACATCCCAAGTTTGACTGTTTCTCATCACCTCCATCCTTCTCTTTTGGTCCAGATCACCAACATCTCTAGCTTGGACTAATTCAGTAGCCTGCTAGCTTATCTTCCTGCATTCATTCCCACCCCCTTCTGTGTCTACAGAGACTTCCAGCATCACCTTTTAGCACTATAAATCAGATCACTTACCTACATTTTAAAACATGCCAAGAATTTTCACTACACTTGGAATAAAATCCAGACTTCTTGCCAAAGTTCCACATGATGTCTCAGAACTCACCATGTTCCTTCGATGCCACCTTGCTTTCTTCTCACACACCAAGCTGTGCCTTCGTGAGGACCTTTGCCTTTGCTGTTCCATCTGCTTGGAATGTGATCTTTATATGGTTTGTGTCTTCTGCTCACTTAGGTCTCTGCTCAGATATCACTTCCGTGATTGCCCTATCAGAAATACCCACTCTTATACCACAATGCTGACCCTGCTTTGTTTTCTGTAGCACTTACCATGACCAGAAATGATTTATTTCTCACCTCTCTTCTATACTTGAGTTATATATATGTTCTAGAAGAGAAACTGTGTCTTGTGTAACTGTTGTATCTCTAGCACATAAAATAGTGCCTGGTGAATAGTAAGAATTCTCATAATGAACTGATGAGCAGATGGACATATGTAGCTCTGCATTTATATCTTGCAAAGGATCTAAATTGGTACAGCTCATGGAAATAGAGTGTGAGTTACAAGTGTAATTTAAGATTTTTCCAGTAATTAAAAAAAGTGAAAAGAAACAGGTGATTAGCTTTAGCAATATATTTTTCTAACCCAGACTCTCCAAACTATTACCATTTCAACAATTAATACTAAAAAAAAAAAAAAAAAAAAAAAAAGGCAACTGGAAACTTATTGCATGGGGAGGAGGATCTTTCTCAGCTACCCCTGCTTCCTTTCCCCTCCAAGGAAGCTGTAGCTCAGAAATGTGTGATTATATTCTTAGAATAAGGATAATTATGATGGTGAATTTTACTAAATTTTACTCCATGCTAATCACTTCATATAATCTCATTTAATTCTCACAATTGCATTTTACAGATGAGGAAACATGTTCAGAAAAGCAGTGTAACTTGTTCCAACATACACATCTGGTGTTACAGCTGGAATTGTAAACTTGGTTGAAAGTTAGTTTCATCTGAACATTATGCTACAGTATCCCTTTAGTGGTCCACACTGGAGAAATGGAGGGCCAGTTGAAGATCCAGTGAGATGAAGATAATGTTTTTACAGCATCTAGCACAGTACTGGCTGCTACGTATCCCCTGGGACACTCCAGTTCCTCTACCCCTCTTTCCCTTGCTGGCTGTCACTTGACCTAATTCCCCCTCCTCTGTACATATTCTGCTRTGGAGCCCTAGGAGCTCTTGGTGCAGTTTAGCCTTCAGGTAGGCTTGCACGTATGGGGCAGGGCAGCGCTGGGGCCCTACCTTAGGACTGGTGTCTGAAACCTACCATCCAACTACCAAATGCAAGACTCCTGGGAGGTTCTTACCTCCTTCCTTTCTAACCTCCCGCACCTGGCTGGGATCCCCCCCMCACACACACACACTGACAACTTCCATTCCTTTTTGTGGCTCTGGTCTTCCTGTTTCATATGTAGTATTACAGATCCACAGTGGCTGTCAGAATAACCTTTTTCAAACAACCCGAACCAGATCATGTCCCTRCTTAAAAACACTGTCTTCAGGATTGAGTCCGAATTCCTCAGCTTGCTCTCTSTCTGACAAGTATTACTATGCGCCTAAGCCTTCTTTACAGGCACAAAGAGTAGTAGCAAACCAAGCATAAATAAAAGGCCTGCCCACATGGAGCTGATATTCGAGGGGCAGACCCCAGCATTCCTTTCCAGCTTTATATGGTCCAACTAACTTCCAGCCTCTCTCCCACTGCAGCGTTGGCTTTGCACAGAATAAATGCCCCCTGTAACTAACCCGCAAAGTCCCCGAGACTGGCCTAGATGGAGAGAACAGTTCCCGCCCCTGACACTCCTCATGGGCCCTGCTGCCCCACTGAAAGACCTAGGGTGCCCCGGGAAATTGAGGCCCCCATTGCCTCTGGCCCGCAGCCCCTCCCTTACCCTTGGGATTGTGAGCTAAGAGCCAGGAGTAAAAGGCTTGGTCCGCGGCGCGGTGCCCGCCTGGGCTGGTCCCCTCCTCTGCACAGGCAGAGGGGAAGGAGTGCCTATCCCCAGCCCCATCGAGGAATGCCTCATCCCCAGGTGAACGTTCGAGTGGAGCTGTAGGTAGGGGTT